GAAAAGTCCCAATAGCACAACTCATGGATCCTAGTCAAAGTCTACACCCACCCTGAATGTAAGTCAGGACGGGCAGTGCATGACAAGGAGACAACATCAGTGTCATACCCATGGGATGCTTCTCACTGCCTTCTCAGACATCTGTGTGCCACTCTCACCTTAGAGTGAGACATGGCCACAGCTCCACCCCAAGCCGCAACATATGTTCCTCTCCTAACTTGCACAACTCTCAACAGCCCACGCCATAACAGTCTTCCTACCACAACTGCTTCCACCACCTGCTCACAGCTTCTACATCATAAAGGTTTTCCTAATCCATCCTCTAGACTTCAAGTAAGACAGGGACTGCTCTGGAGCAAAAAGCGGCACAGGGAGAGACCTGCTTACCTTGGACTGATCTCATTAGCGATATCTGCAAGATCATCCAGCTGAGCGATCTGCTCTGGAGAATCAGCTTTGCCATAAGCCTTCACTACACCCAAGACCTTCTTCAGGCAAGCTTTAGAAGCCTTCATTAATCCCATGCAAGAGCTAAGCAGCTTCCGGTCAGCTTCTGACCAATATGTATCTCTGTTGCCCCGAAAGCCCAGCTCTTCATCTTCCATGATGTCGCTGTAGGGGTCCTGCCCTTCCACCAGAGCCTGAGAATACAGATGCACTGAAAATCCAGAGCCTAAAATCAATTCCAGCACCACCCAGGAGGAAAGGGAAAACATAATCTAGAAATCATAGCAACAGTTTTTGGAGGAATCTCTCGCCAACCAGCATCTCAGTTGCCAGATTCTGTTAATACTAGCAGGACTGGATAAAGAAAAATTAATCCCCTGCTCCAATTCAACAGAGCAAACAGCAAGAACCTGGCAAACAGTGTCATTCTTACATCAACCTGAACTGTCCCCCCAGCCTGCAATTCAGGACATCGCTTTATGGAAACCTTATATAAAGTAAACCAGGCTTGAGTTTAAAAACTCATTAAGATCCAGGCATAATACAATAATCTAGGTCGTATCAGAACAAATTTAAATCAAAGCCTGTATGTAAAACAATCCCTGTGTTCCATCACTGAACCATCACTGCAATCCATCACTGCAGGTTCCTCAAAGGCTGAGGTGCTTTCTTACACGTTCCATCTCCTCCAGAGCATCCTTGACCACACCTAGACATGCAGCCAGAGCTGACACAACTGCTGCCTGGTTATCTGCAAAAGCAAAAGGATAAAAATTGTTGCACTGCACCGATTCAAATCAGCTTGTGACAATGTTCATCTAGGTTTGCAATCATTAGATCTTGAGATTATAGGATCAAATTTTTTGCAGAGCTCAGAGCTGCATTGTTGCCATGCAAAGAATCTGGCCTGGCTTCCAAGCTTATATATTTCAAAGAGTAGTGTTCTGCAGAATGAGTGAGCCTTCATTGTACTAGCTAGAATGCCCCTTGCAAGGGCCTTTGATATTCCAAGATGACACATCCTAGTTCTGTTGTTCTGCAAATGCAATACTCACCCCATGGCAGGTTGGACACTTGCTCACATGCCTCCCACACACCACCAGTTGATATAAGCTGTTCCTGAGACACGCTGAAACAAAACAAAGCCCCCCCAAAGTTAGACTCAGTAACACCACTCTGCTAGACTGTGTTTTTATTTTCTGCCCCAAAGATGACACACACTAGTAGAAGCTCTGCTGGAAAGATGTCACCAGCCAGCTTGTCACCAGTATCTCATGTCTGTGTAAAGCAAGAAGTGCTGGCTCCTACTGGGTTTAATTACCTGTTGGAACAAGAAGCAGGGGCCTCTTACAAAGGTCTCTCAAGGTCCTTAGGCATATTATTTATCTTTCAGAACCTCTGCAAATCAGAAGTCTCTATTAGAGATTGCTGTCTTCTGCCTAAGGACAGTAGCATGTAATCCATAAAGAGAAGAAGCGGTCCACAGTGATCAAACAACTAGCTTTATAAAGTTGCGCAATCATTGCACACGACAGTTCACTCCAAGGGCAAAAACTGCCAAACAGTGCAAATGCTATGCAGCACCTTCATGGGAATCCTGCTCCCAGCACCCTTCCTTGCCACAGACAGGATGAAAACCTATTCTCCATGTAGGCAAATGTACCTGACTCAGTCACTGGGACAAGAGGGTACTATCAGGGCCTTGAGTGTATTCCACCCTCCTAGGAGTTTAATTGGCTCAGCTGAAGAGTTTAGTTGGCTAAGTAAAAGGCCAGGTCCTTTGCTGATGGGTGGTATTGTGAAGAAAGCTAGAAATGAGTGCCAGCCCTTCCATACCCTAGGAGATGTTTTTACTCTGAGGTTCTTTCACTGGGCCCTGTTTGTGTTACATCACAGCTGTGTAGCAGCTATGTCTGCACCCAGTTTCATAACCTCTTGATTCTGACCTGGATCCTGACCCACTGATTTGACCTTCCTGCCTTGACCTCAGACCCAGCTCATTGTAGTGGACATGTTGGGCAATCACTAGATGGTGTCCGATGCTGGTTACTTTCTGGACCTGACCCTGACCCTGACTTGATGGCCTGACTTTGCAGCCTGACCTCATTGCTATGGGCTTGTCTGATGATCTGGACTCTCAAGTGAACCTCACTACCCTCACCAACACTGCTCTGCTCACTCAGACACTGGGGGACGGGGCCTTTGCTGATGAAGCCACTGCCTCTTCCTGCCTCGTAACAATGCTCTGCTTCTGCATCCCCCCTTCCCTTAGGAAGCAGTCTGCACTCACTCCTTCCTAACGAGTATACTTGTAACTTTTTCTTCATTTTTTTCTGGAAAACGACTACCTCTCCAATGGAGCACTGAGAATTGTTTCTGTGAGTTGGATCATTCCTTCCACTACTTCAGTGGTAGCATCTCGTACCATCTTCCGAAGAGTAGTACCTGGTTGAGATTGAGAAAGAGCAAGAAAGTTTCCACAAAGTCAGAACCGACAAAACACAACTGCTGAAGATGAACACACAGACTGCCCTGTTTCTGTGGATACACCACATAAATTAGGTTACAGGTATTTTGAAGGAAGCAGCGTGTTTCCCAGTTCCAAAAGGACTTTGGACAAGGATCTGAATGCTTTATAAATATGAATGCTCAATCTATACAACTTCCTACGTTATCACTCTTTCACAGATGGAAATTTGCAGGAGTAGACAGACAAGTGGTTCACTCATAAACATGTTGCAAGCCTACAGCACAGCTGATAATGGACCTGCTCATCACTTGTATTCCTGCAGATGCCAGATGTCATATTAGACTCTGAAATACCAGGTTTCTTTATACAGGGGTGAAAGAACCACCACCTTATATAGTGGTGACTGCCCTGCTGTCACTATCTTACCTTGGCCCTTTGGGAGCCAGTAGTACACTGTGGCAACTGCAAGAATGGCATTTTGGACATCTTCACTCAGCTTCTGGCAATCCTGAAAGCGGATAGACAAAAGGATTAACCATGAATAGTGCACGGCTGCATCACATTTAGAAAGCCTCACAAGCAATCACTTGCATTCAGATCGCCTTGAAAAAAGGGAAGCATAGTAATGGCCATCTTGCTCGAGAAACAAATACAGCACGACAAGAAGATACAGTAAGCAAGCTGTACATGTCGTAAGTTGCCTCAGGATTTAGTAACAAAACACACCCTGGTGTGGTGGTCATGCATCAGAGAGGAAAAAGTAGCTTAGATCATTATTCTGAACTGGAGGTCTTTTTTTTTCTCCTCCAAACACAGGTGTGATAAACTTCTCTCAATTAACAGCAAAAATACTGCATGTTCTTTGTTAGATCTAAGGTCTGTATTGTCCAATATCCTGTCTCTATCTGCAACCAGCTGCTGATGTTAAAGAAAAGTGTGTAAGAATGCTTCTATTTGGTATGTCTCCCTAACTGACAGAAATTAGTTCTCTGGGCAATTCTTGAATTGGATTAACGTACTCTACAATGCATAGAACATACTGACATCCCTTGTTTGTGCTGGACCAAATGACTTTGTTTTAGTCAAGTGAACCAAGAGATACCTGAAACTTGCTGAAACACACTGCAATGTCACAGTCTGTGGGGGGGGCTTTCACTCACCTCTGCAGAAGTCACTGGAGGCCTTGAGAACGCCAGACTCAGCTTTGTAGCTTCCTGTGACGTTACTTTGAATGTCTGACCTAGAGAGGAGCCAGTGAGAGCATAATAACAGAAAGTAACTTCGGTAAAAGATAAAAGAACAGAGAAGCTAGAGCAGCAACATCTCTGATGTTACTTTGCCCTACTGCTTGATTGCCATTTCTTCCTTCCAACCAACACAAAGACATAAACTAAACCCCACTACAAAAGAAGAAAAACTCCACGGTGTATTTGTGCCATGCATGTTGCATGTGTCCCACGTCTGCTTTTTTCCTGTTTTTTTTTACTTAGCTGGTAGCAATATCCACAACCACGTTTTGTGTCCTGGGCCACAACAACTTCGCCAGGACATGCTTTAAAAATCGAGTCGTGACGACTGCTCGGTACTGGCTGCTGCTTTGCCAACGCCAACACCCTGGAGCGGAGGGCAAGCCCAAAAGCCCTGGCGGGAGACCTGCCGGGGATCTCGCTTGCAGGTCAGAGCCCTGCCGCACACCG